TCAGTATTTTTATTTTGATTTTCAAATCGTGTTTTCTCAATTCCACCATGTTGAGTAACGACAGTATTTGGTTTCATGTCCGGTATGTAAAATACCTTCTTTTAGTAAACCGTGAACACATTTGCGTAACATCGTTAATAATTTTAGCCCGTCCTTGGCCGTGCAACAGCGCAGCGCCCAAATTATCGCTAACAGCATCTCATTCCGCGTATATTGTACAAAGACATTCAATATCAAAAACGATAAAGTTATTGAAAAAAAAAATATTCCGATCTTCGTCTTTTTAAGTCAAAGGTTCTACTAAAATACTGATATTTCTTTGTCATTTCCTATTTCTAATGAAATATTGTTATGTACAATGTAAGGTATACCTTTGTTTTAAATGACTTAATATACATATAAAATGAAAAATAAATATTTATTTTATATATATTATAATAAATAGGGCACAGTGATGTTACCTTAATTAGGTTTAGTAATTGCAAAGTACAATCAACAGTGCACTCATCTTCTATATTATTATAATCTATATTAAACTACCTCTGTGGCCGAACGGTTACCATGCTGGATTGCCACGCAGAGGTTCCGGATTCGATTCCCGGGCCGGGAGAAATATTTGTATGGCCTACATTTATTTCTATCATGAGTTTGGGTGTAATTTTGTGGTTGTCAATGTGTGTGTCCATTGCGCCCGCGATACAGGGGTTGTCCCTAATGCGGGGCCATGATTACAATAAACTTATATTAACACTTATATTATTCAATCCTATGCCACTTATCATAAGAACGATATGATCGTTCCATTTGCATATAGATTCCATATAAAGCAGATTATGCTGTTGACTACAACTACAACCTAGTCGACTGCATATAGTCATTTATACATACATATGTATACTAGAAATGTTATTTAGCTTTACAAGTCTTAAAAAACGTGTAGTCAAGAAACATAACGCGCCGTGTCCTAAATAATTTTCAGTGCTTTTGCGCAAGGCTCTGTATTTGACAAACAGATACCTACATTAGACTTCGTTTCGCTCGTTAACGTTTTAATCCTAGCTTCAATTTATTCTTGAAAAGATTTTTGAAGACTTTAGTGTCTTCAAAAATCTTTTCAGCAAATCTTTTGCGTCATATATAAGAATATCCGACCCTGTCTATCCGGTGGGATGAACTATGGTCCGCAGTATGGGAAGGAGGTTCTCGTCATTAATGCTTTGACTCACTGCTTGGCCTCAAACTAAAATAACTTGCCTGAAACTGTAGATTACAATGTACTCGATGTCAGTGTCCACCGATACTAAAATATCACCTTGCACGTAAATATACGCGCTAGTATGTCTGTACGATTACGCTACTGTACCCAGAATTAATAATTACGTTCATTTTCTGGTACGAAATATGTTAATCATTGTTAATTTTCCTAATTGCTGTAAGAATGTTTTATAATCCAAAGAGCTGTCGCCGCTGATTACTGAAGTCTGTCGTTAGTAGCAAACTGGATTGGGTTTCAATTCCTCGAATTTCCAAATGACCATAACTACTTTGGAAAGTTCTTGGTGTTGTTTTAATTTTCAAACAGTTGAACTCTTTTGCGGTTGTTTAAGCTGTCTTCTGTTTTTATTGACTGTGGCGGGCATATTAACTTTAAACTGTTCACGCAGAAAACATTTTGTAGAGAATCACATCGTTAAAGTTTTTTCGTGCTCCCAGCTCCCAGAACGATCTTAGAACATCGTACTTTTATTAATTATTCATTACTTCTACGCACTTAATGTCGTTAATGCGTCGCTTAGCTGCCGCCAGCGTGTCCGACGATAATTCACTCAAAATTACCTTAACTTTTTTAAATAACGCACACACTCAACAAAGCCTAGGGAAACCCTGTGTCGCTGCTGCCATGGACCCACACATAGACAACCACAAATTACACCCTAACTCACGAGATAAATAAATGTAGTCCACACAAATATTTCTCCCGGCCCGGGAATCGAACCTGGGACCTCTGCGTGGCAGTCCAGCAAAACGCATGTAAATCACGATTTCAATGCAAGAATCTCTTTTCTGTGTCGCAAAGGCGTATCGTCTGCGCTTAAAAAACACGCCGTGTGCATAGGTTCTTAAGTTTTTCTACGACGTCTAGCCACAAAGTACTTTTTATAAATATAGCAACGCCACACTTGGCTCTACATAAAATCTCACAATTTTTTACGTGTAAATATTTTTTTATTATTGTGTATTGTAATGGTATCAATTTAACTTATGTGAAGCATCGTTAATAATGTATATTTTTTTATTATTATTATTATTTTTTTATGGCACAATGTACAGACATCAGATACAGAAAGTGAGGAAAATAAAAACACTTAAAAATTAATACAACAGGCATATCTGTGCCCAATTATTACTGTGCTCAACATTCATTTTAAAACATTTATAGTATAATATTTATATAATATATAGTATAATATATTTTTATAATGTTTCCCTGCGTAACCATTTTAAAAGTTTTGTTTCTGAAAATTGTACAACTTGTGTACGTTCCATTTTGCAAGAGATTGATTTGTATCACCAATTTACTGTTAGGAAAAAAGACATCATATTTTGGTAAGGCAAATTTGTGTGTTTCTGCCTGTTTATCTTAAAAGCCATTTTTTTTTAAATTACTTCTAATGTCTCAATTTTTGCAGTAAATCAGCGATCTTAGCCAGGTACAGCAGTTATTGATGTTTTGTAGCTTAATTTAAAATTTTGCTTCATTGTAGCGTAGCATGCAATTTTCACTTCAATGCATTGTTTGATTTCAAAGAATAGATTCTACTTTGTACTATTATGTTAGAAAATCTATTTTTAGTTTCCAAAGTTTTTAATGTTCTTCTTTATTCATAAGCCAGTGAAACACATTTTCAAGCAAACATATCTATTTTAATTGTTACCTCTGGCAAAAGTAATTTTTCATTAAACAACACGATTTCCATTCTTATAAAAGAATAAAATAAAACAATATCCGTGTGTCCAACGTTCGTCTATTTTACATAAAAAAACGACCTCGTGAAAACAAGTATTTATATCATGCGACGAATCATATCATACTTCGAAAAATCATCACTATCGCTTACTATCTTTGGTCTCAATTGATAATGAACCTGTACTGGGCGTAGTTATACGAGTATATAAGTGACTTATTTCGAACCACTCAAAGCACTTAAACAAAACTAACAGTTAAATATTTGCGGTTGTGTTACAAAAATATGGATGATTCAGGGGATAAAACGAGGACCAAGAATATGAGACATTTAATAAAGTTGTTCGAAGCTCGGGCCAATCAATTGGATGATGATGAAGCGCATGATTTGCAAGATGATAATCATAATACGGACAACTTATCCGCTACTCCTTATGGTACGTTTCAAAATCAATTTAATTTTAGGTTTTGATAAGATAGTATTTTGTAAATTAATTTTTTTGTCAAGGTAATCTCGTAAACAAATTTGCAATACCTATATAAGTACTCATACATTAACAAGTTGACAAATATTTAGGCAAAAAGTAATTGCCTTGTTCAACTCGCTTATCTCACGACTAAATTTTGAACAAAGGGCACACCCTTCTCTCCTTAGGGACCTCGTTGTTTTGTCATAGTAATTAAATACAACGCTTGTTGGTCGTAGTTTTTGGTTGCTTTTGTTAGTTCACTTTTGGTTATTTTCTCGCTACATTTCTTTTTACCATGTAGGGCTTGAGGAATATTGTCAACAGAAATATTTGGAGGCCATCCAATAATGTACTCACTTGTCAATAAATTTGATTTATTGCTAACGTTATTTTGCGATATGTACTCCTGTTTTTCTGATATTTTACCATGGTTCCCTTTTTCATCATGTTTACATGTACTTAAAATTACATGCTGTGCTATTATTGCTTTTATAGCAGCAGTTCGTGCTCATAAATAATGGTACCATCAAAACATAAATCCCGTAAACAAATTACATTGACTTCCACGTGACCACATTATGAATGCTGAACAAATAGTCTGAAAACTCTTTTGAGTGCCGTTTGATAACTTTATGTTTTAGGTATTTTAAGTCTTTGGTAACATCGTTGTAGATTGTCAGGCGACTGTTTTATTTCGATAACTTTATTTATTTTATAAATATATTTACTTTATTTATTTAATAAATAGAAGCAGAGGAGGCTTTTATTACCTGACTAACATGCTATTATAGTGATTGATTCGATAGTTAAGGTTTCGCCATATTAATTACGCCATAATAAACCGAAAACTATCTTTTTGGAAGTAACGTCGTGAAAAAAGTTAATTACGACGGCGTTGCTTATCGTATTTATGCAAGTAGAAAAGTATAATAATGTGTCTAACAAGAGCGTTTCTAAACATTAGATAATTTTCTAAAATGTAATCAGTTTGAATACATTACGTACGAAAGTCATTTTGTTGAATCTCATCGATCTGTCAAAAAACTACATCCACTTTCAAAACTATAATATTAGTTTCATCATCGCTCTGTTTCAACAGGCGTTTGGGCCTTCTTTTGAAATTCGAAAATAATTTTATGAAATTGAAAATAAAGAAACTAATTTTCAGCTAGGATAATCTGAGACGTTTCTGAGTGGGCTGCCTGTCAGCTTTTTGGGATTTCCTTTTATCTCTGAAAATGGCTTTTCGGGGAAGTTGGATTAAATCCGTGGATGTATTATTGTGTGTAATATTATATATAACTGAAAATATTCAAAAGTATGCTGAAAGGCTGCCTCGAGGTGATATGATTTGGTTTCAAATGGACGGGAAAATTTGAATTACGTCGTGAATGATTGAAGGCTGTAGAGATCGTATTAATTTGTGATCCATCAACCGCTACAGCTCACTGTTCTACGAAGGTTTACCAAACATATGACTGTACTGGCAAAATAGGCCGATCGTATAATCATATTCCTCAGCTTACTTAAAAAATATTGTTGGTAAAAGTGACTTATTTCTCCAGCAGTGAGCGAGTTCGAGCCGACAGCTGCGAACCAGAGCCCCGCAGCGGAGTTCGAAGCCCTCATCGAACGGTTGGAGCGAGTGACGTCACGACTCGAACGCCTGCCGCTGCTGCGCTCGCGCTCTAACTCCCCGCAACCGCCCTCACCTGCGCCCACCCCTGTGTCTGCACCTTCTCCGCCACCTTTCGACATACCCGACGATTCCCTATCAGACGACATGAGTGTCAACGGATACCAAAACATTTTGCAAGTACGTACAACTTTGCACTAAAAAAAATTGCACTTTTTCGTTGTAGCGTTTACTTATATAGGTACAAGTAAACTTTCTTTTATTAGAGATGGCTTATCTCAGTATAATCGTTAAATTTTGTACAAACAATTTAGTAAATCGATTAAATTATAAAACTTCTATCGCAAACCTTTCTGGATATCAAGCCAAAATAATGCCGAAATGGCGTAATTACACTTATCTTTACCGGTATCTATAAAAGCAGAAATGGACAAGAGACTATTGCCCGTAGGAATGTCTGTCAATACCATGCATTGGTTTAGCTACGGGCCATTCACAACAACTAATCCGTCCCATATCCGCGATACAAGTACAATTAATCAGCGCAAATAAAATACCATTATGTTGCTTATTAATTTCTTAAAAAGTATAAATATAGACATAACATACACACTTTTGCAAAAAAAAAACGTGCACCTAAGCAAATAAGATATTTGACTGTCACCTGCAGTAAATTCTATTATTTAACTGACTAGTATCTTCAGAATCTCAGAAATGAATATGCAGAAAAAGGTTTGAGCAAATTTTTTCTATTAATTTCGATTAACTAAATGAGAAAATGTCGTTCTAGTGTCAGTTGTCAGTAGAATACTATTCGTTAAGTAAAATAAAAATCAAAAGATTTTTATGTTTTTTTATAACGTAAAGGAACAATGGTAACAATTGAATAATGAGTGTGGCTTCCTCTTGCCAAAATCACAGCCTATATTCTTTTAGGCATGCTTTCGAGGATATTGCTTATGATCTCTTGTGGAATATGTTCCCATTCCACGGCGATGAGATTTTTTAGCTCCCTCATGTTTTGTGGTGCTGTCTGCGCTGACCTTACCCGTCGCTTCAGAACATCCCAGAGATGCTCTATTGCAGCCTTTCCCAAAGTGGGCGATAACTTCCCCTTGTGGGCGCTACAGACCTAAAGGGCGGTAAGAGATCCAGAAAAAAATGGGGGCGTTGTGTAGAGTCTTAGGGGGAGATTTGTAATTTCATCTAGGAAGACTCTTAGATACCGACTGAGCTCTCGACTCGCGACTACAACTTGTGAACATCAACTAATAATAATTAAGAGATTGCTCAAACTAACTCGGTTCGATATTTCTCTCCGTGTAGTTCGTATATCTGTCCTGTTTTATTGAGTAACTACATTGAACTATTAACAAATGGACGTCGGGTTCGCGCTAAAGAGTATCCGCACCTATAGGGCGTTAAAATCGCATACAGAGCGTCAATCGCGCAGCAGTCTTCGTTTGTTCGACTGACAGCGCGGTTGTCAATTATGCAGTACTATATATCATAATAACTTGTAAAAATTACTGCAGTAAAGTGTATAAACAGGATTTTGTATCATATTTTCACTAAACAAATATATTGTGTTTTCATAGTTATCATGTAAAAGTGTTATTTTGTACAGTTGTATAGTATTTAATTTATATATAAATTAATCGTAAATATAAATTACAAAAGCAAACAAAATAATTAAATTCTACACATTGCATGCGCAAAATGGATGGAAAGAGACCCATTACGTCAATTTCAAGAAGCGTATATAAACTTCTTGGTCATTTTCAATTGTTCGAACCATAAGCGATCGAAATATTTGGAACAGCCAGCATTTGAGTCAGCCGTGGGGCGACGGCTTAAGAATACATTGTCGCCTCCCCATACATGCCCGTGGGGGTCGTAAGAGGCGACCGAGGGCGTCACAAGTGTCCATCTGCTTAGCATTGTGGTAGGCTCTGTGCCGACTGGATAGCGACCACAGTACACACGGCGGAAAACCCTCCACAGTGAAACGCTTTTGCGAATCGCGTTCAGGGATCAGTTGGTGTACATCCAGTGCATTTGGCCAGACCGGCAAAATGATAGTGACGGAGTGAAGATATTTGTGTTTTCCATCCGTTACTCTCATCTCTGGACTGTATTCGCACTTTCCATCAGGCGCGGTGCAGTCATTTTGTCGAGTCGCAATAAAAAAAAAAAAAAAAAAAAAAAACAAAGAAACTATAGAGTCGTGTTGATTTTAATCTTATTTTTAAAATGACTTTTTATTAAATTTTAGCAATAACTAACAAAACATTGTTGTACTCGTTTTACGACTAGGGATTACCTATCAAAAGTCAGAAAATACATTTGCCCGAAATAACGTTAGCTCGAATTATCATAATGTCAAATGTATTTTTTTAGGAATATTACAAAACAAAAGCTAATTTTGGCTTTGTGAGAAGCATCAAAATTACTTGAAAGCGTAACGGTTTTATTATAAATCAGTTTTCGGAATTACGGATATTTGAGTTTACGTTTAGTTGGAACGCGGGACATTTCTTATAGTACACGTTTTTTCACACTTTTTCACAATTTTCACATTTTTCACATTTGTATTAATATTTGTATGTATGTATCTGCCCAACTCTTTATTATTTCTTTAAGAAAATTTGTACAAAACTCGACATAATAATATATATGAAAATTAATTAACATTTAGGGGAAAGGCTACTCCATTACTCTTGTGTTCAAGTAATTTTCAGTCGAAGCTAAATATGGTGCATTTTGTTAAGTTTCCAGTAGACGCTGAATATGGTGTTTTTGGGCACTTAAATTGTTGCAAGCAAAATTAGGCAGTACTGCAATGACGTTACAATTTAAATTAAATGTTTTAGTTTTTTATATTTCGTTACATGTCACTACGTTTATATAGGTTAAGTTCGGACATTTTTTTCGTGGTTTTTGTATTAGACCCGATGTCCATTTGTTGGTAGGTCAAGGAATAAATAAAATAAAAATCATGTCAATCCGTCGCTCCGTTTCGAAATGAAAGTAGACACAAACAAACAAATAAAAAGGCAACAGACACAGTTTCGCATTTTAATAGTTATTAGTATTCCTAGATAGGTTATTTTCGTAGATAATAGACCGCGGGCAATCATGTTTTAATAAGTTTTTGTTAAATAACCCAATTTGTGCATTCCTGTATCAATCGGCTGGTTCAGAGTATACTTGTTCTTACTTGTTGAGTACGATTGAGCGTCGAATGAGATAAACGAGTTTATGCATGTTTGTCTTATACCTGTCGGTGCGTGCTGCTTATGCAATCCTATATAAACAACGTAATATTTATTTTATTTTCATTTGCGTTTTCGCGCGTAAAAGAAGCAGTACTTACGTTCAACACTTACTTACGTATTTCACAAACAGAAGAGACGCCAATACTGTGCGGAATATATTAAATTCGGATTCATTGAAAATCCCACAAACCCATCGTCGCCTTTGTGCCTTCTATGTCTAAAAAGATTTTCGAATGAAGCAATGAAGCCTTCCATACTGCAAGATCATTTGAATAAAATGCATCCAGATAAGAAAGACAAGAATGTCGCATATTTTCAAGACCTAGAGAAGAAGCATAATACTCCGCCAAGTGTAGCAAAACTCTTATCGGCGGCTGCTAAGCAAGATGACGACGGACTTCGAGCTTCGTACTATATCTCTTTGTTAATTGCTCAAAAAGGCAAACCACACAACATCGGAGAAGAATTAATTTTGCTAGCAATAAAGGAAGTAATAACTACTGTGCTTCATAAACCGCCCGCAGATATTATCCGAAAAATTCCTTTGAGTAATAATAATTCTGTCGAGTTCTTAGGTTTTCGCGATTGTTACACATAGGAAATGAAACTATTTTTCCGGGTTTAAATCGCGTATATTTGTTTTTTCAAACAAACCGACATTTCGGGTCCTTTACAGGTCCCGAAACCGGTGAAGGTGAGTCAACCGTGACCATGGGACCTGCAAAGGGCCCGAAACGTCTGTTTGTTTGAAAAAACAAATATACGCAATTTAAATCTGGAAATATAGTTTCATTTCCTAATAATTCTGTGCAAAGACTAATTGATGAAATGGCTGAAAACATTGAAGAATCATTGTGCAATCCTCTGAAGACTAGCCTCTAATTCTCAATTCAGCTCGATGAGTCCACTTTACCAGCTGATGAAGCATTGTTGCTGTCTTACGTGAGGTTTATTAAAGATGAGAAAATATGTAAAGAACTATTGTTTGCTAGAAATTTAAAGACCGATACAAAAGGCGAAACCATATTCAATACATTGGAATAGTTTTGTGATGAGAAAGAGATTCCCTTGAAAAATATTATACAGTTGCTATGGATACTAAAATATAAAGGCTTCATAACGTACTTAAAAAACAAAATCCCAGATGTCCTTGCTGTACATTGCGTTATTCATAGACAACATTTGGTTGCTAGAAATTTAAGTGAACGATTATTTCAATCTTAGAGGATTGAAAAAATAAAAGAATTTCAATTACTGCAATATGTCATCAAACCAGTCAATGAAATCCGTAACAGCTCTTTGAATGATAGGTTATTTCATCAGCTTTGTGTTACTAATGACAAAGATTTCAACCGTTTGATGTTTCATACTGAAATTCGTTGGCTATCAAGAGGCAATTGTCTGACTCGTTTTTACAACCTGTTTGACTCTGTGATAGAATTCTTGGAAACTAAAGATACAGAATTGCGCAACAAGCTCATTACATCACATCAAAGACTAATATAGCTTACATCAGTGTTGGGCAAAATTTTATTGTTCTGGCAATTAAAGATTGACAATTAATTAATTGTCAATTGCGAAACAGCAATTAACAATTAATCAATTGTTAATTGCGGTTCTCGCAACTAACAATTGATCAATCGTTAATCGCAAATATCTACAATTAACAATTGATCAATTTTCAATCTTTTCAATGTTTGTGATTAACAATTAACAATTAAAACTGACAATTATGATAAATTTATAGGGCATAGGGGGGTGAGTTAGGGCGTTGGTTATGGGGGCCCCGGCTGGGGGGCCCGGTTGGGGGACCCGGTTGGGGACCCGTGGGGGCCCGGTTGGTGTCCCGGTTGGGGGGCCCGCTGGTGGCCCTTCTTGGGGGCCCGGTTGGGGGCCCCAGTCGGGGAACCGGTTGGTGGCCCGGTTGGGGGTCCTTCTTAGGGGCCCCGGTTGGGGGCCAGCAGGCCCCTTAATCGGCCCCTAGCTGGCCTCTAACCGGGCCCCCAACCGGGCCCCCCAACCGGGCCCTCCAACCGGGCCCCCAAGCGGGCCCCCCAACCCGGCCCCCAACCGGGCCCCCAACCGGACCACCAACTGATTGCGTCGTGCTATGACAACGCTGTTTACTAAAAAGAGAAATCATTTGCATGTTACCGAACGTGGTGACTTGCGGCTGTTCTTGAGTAAATTGGAACCTGATATCAACAAACTTATTAAACAGCATTAGATTCATCCTTCACATTAGTTTTTATATTAGAATCGATTATGTTTGTTTTATTTTGAATAAAAGATACTCTGTCTGAATACTATAAAGTTACATTTTAATAATCATTCTCATTGGCAGGTGTAGCCTGTAAGAGTAAACTTGAGACCCGAGCGCTGTTATGTACTGCCTACTGCGTTCAGGTCTCAAGTTAACTCTTGCGGGTTTATAGTAAAAGTCTCGTTTAGAATGAATGTGTAATCTCCGTTAATATAGCTCACAATAATTAATTTAATTTGAACTTATAGTGGCTTTTAAGTAGGTGGAAAAATGGGGGCGCTAAAAAATAATTTATTCTCGAAGTGGGCAGTAGACAAAATAAGTTTGGGAACCCGTGCTCTATTGGATTGATGTCGGGACTTCGAGCTGGCCAATGCAAACGCCGGATTCCAGCCTCTTGAATATACGCTTCCACAACGCCAGAACAGTGGGCGCGGCGTTGTCATCCATAAAAATAGAATCTTCTCCAAGAACAGTCAATGCGGGTTGTACGTGAGGAATTAGAATCTCCGTCATGTATTGGTGTGCACTCAATGTGCTATTTTCGATGAAGACTAACTCCGTACGGCCCATCGAATTAATCGCTGCCCAAAACATAAAGGAGCCACCATCATAAGGGGTGCCTTCTCCAAAACACACGTCTGCAAAGCGTTTCCCTGGTCTTCGTAGCACTCGTCGACGGCGGTATTCACCACGCAGATAAATCCTGGCTTCATCAGAGAACAATACTCTTTTCCAGTCCCCTTGAGTCCATGTAGCATGGTTTCTAGCGAAGTGAAGTCTAGCAATTTTATGCTCATTGAATAGTCAGGGCTACGAGCTGGGCGAACTTTCAACAATTCCCGCCGTTTTAAGCAGTGAAGAGTAATTTTCTTGTAGACAGGTTTTATCTCTTAAATTTGAATTTGGAACGAATGTTTTTACAAATGAGGACACTTAACTATCAAGCCAGTGACATTTTTGAATGAATAATACCTTTTTCGTATTGTAATTATTTCAGGCAGGGAAAAAATCAAAGGTGCCCGTTTTTTTTTGTAAATGAGTTTAGTTCCAATATTTATTGCCTCTTTTCCCGGTACAATACTTTCGTGTGCCCTTATTTCACTCCAACAAAATTTAATTTGTTGGCAAACACCAGAAAACCTTTTAAATTTCTAATAAATTTTGGCCAATTCTTTTGCCGAAAATTTTGCTTGAGGCTAATTAATCTCATAATTCCCTAAGTGATTACTTAAGTCTAAAAAGGGAAAAGAGGGAATCTGCTTCCAAGTTAATTACTGTTTACCTTTAAACTCTGTCGAATGTGTATGTGTATTACCATGAGTAATACTAGGATTTAAATTATGGAATACCGTTCTAAAATTGTTGCTTAAATATTATTAAATGCTAACCCATATTATGCGCCAAATCGGAAAAAAAGTAGATATTGTGTATATGAATTGTCCAAAATACAACGGGTAACGTGCGTTCAATCTTGCACATTTCTCGACACTTAATGATAAAGGAGTTTTTAAACCGCATCATTAGTTGTGATGAAAAATGTATTCTTTATGATAGTCGCAAATGAGCAATGTAGTGGTGAAACGCGACAAGTCAAAACAGGGGGTCTACTCCCGTTCTCCGTCCGAAACAATTATGGTCAAATAAGTAATATTCGACCAAATTAGAAACCAATGTCAAGTATGAAGCTTCATTCGCAACATGCGACTTTAAGTTTGGTCGTGTATTACTTACTTCACAGTTGTTATTAAAAACTGGAGTATCCAAAAAGAAAACTTACTCACAGAAAATTGTTGGAAATATTGGGTAGTCCAATCGCGGAGTAATGGATTACTTCAGTAAACGTAATGGTGGATCATAGCTTCTTTAGATCTAATACAACCATCACAACTGATTACTATTGTGAAGAAATACGGACGATGATGGCAACACTTGCAGCTAAATAACCGCGGCTAGTCAACCGATCTTCCTCGCTACTTCAACACGATTACGCTGGAGAACGTATTGCCGAACAAACCATCTTCGCCTTATATGAGTTGCCAACTGAAACGTAACTAACCTCATTTGTAACACAAACGTAAACTTGCTTACCGACTACCATTGTTTTTTCCACAATTTATATAATTTTTTAGAATGAATGTAATTTAGTTTCGAAAGTCGCTCCAAGATTTTGTGGACTCCCGTTTTTTTACGGCATAAGAACAAATGGATTTCCAGCAAGATTTTTTAAATAAAATATAAGTGTGCATTTGACCTCCATCTCACCTGATGGAAAGTGACGGGGCCAATTCACTCATGCCTTGAAAAGGCCCTAGTTATTATTTATTCCCTGAATGTATGTATTATTATTATTTATGTATATAATATATTAAGATAACCAAGTCTGCAGGCAGGGAATTCCAATCTGCGGAAGTGGAAGTCGAAATGTGGAAGCATAACGCTTCGTGCGAATCCTTAGAACATAGGTGTGAAAAATGGCAGGAGTGTGAGTGGAATATTATTTTCTAAAACTTAATGATGAAAGCCACGGACAGTATACTCGCTATTCTTTCGTATGAGGTATGAAACAAGTGAAAAAAATTGTGTGGAACTTGCGTAATATACCCGATACTATTATTGTTCCAAAGAAATAAGCACGTTTCCGTACCCGTTACGAAACACGAATATGTTAGGTTTTTGTGTAAACATATATACATCAAACTTGGAAAGTACGTATTCAAGTTATATTGGTTTAATTAGTTAATTTAGTATGGTAATAATATCTCATTGCTAAATTTGTACCAAATTAATCCAGGTATAAATGGAAGTAGTCTATCCCGTACCGCGGTCGTCTTACCAATATTAATTAAGTGAAGAAATTCACGAGGCAGAACGTCAAACCAGATCAATTCTCGGACATTCTTTTCCCGTCAAATTTATTGTTTAATGATCATTAATATTAATTGCCCTTTCCGCTTACCAGTCGGATCGAGTTAACACTTTAAATTAAACAGGCTTTTGCATTGGAAAAATTATTTCATGGTTATAATTTTGTTTTTTCTTTCAAGTAAAGGCCGATGGAACCTATCTATTTCGCTCGTATTGGATTAAAATTTTTCCCAGGCGGATATGTTTGAATAGCGTCAATTTAATTTAACGTTATAGCGTTCTTGATTGAAATGCCTCATTTATTTTTCCCTTATTTCGGCGCATCAGCATTTCAATAGCAAAATTAAATCCCTGAAATTAAATTAAAGAACTTCTACTTACTTTATTTCCGTAACTTCAATAAGTGTGTTTCGTAGCTATTTGGCACTAATGACATGGATGTGTACACGAGAGTATATATTTCAATTTGATCTATATATACAGTATAGTAACTGCCTCGGTGGCCGAACGGTTACCATGCTGGGCTGCCACGGAGAGGTCTCGGGTTCGATTCCCGGGCAGAGAGAAATATTTATGTGGCCTACATTTATTTCTCTCGTGGGTTTGGGTATAATTTGTGGTTGTCTGTGTATGTCCATTGCAGCCGCGATACAGGGTTTACCTAGTGTAGGGCAAGAGTGTGTGCGTTATTTATTTATATAATATGTTTTTCTTTAGCAATTTCGTAAATTAAACTGTTTATCATTTGTTTCAGGGTCCCTTACAGACTTATCTGGAACTCTCCCAGCAAATCGGCGGAGATGTCGCAACACAAGCGAAACTCGTCAACGCAGCATTCCAGTAAGATATTTTTACCCAAGCTATTTTTTATTTTTGCAGATTTAATTTTATTGGATAATCTAACTGGTTAAAACTTATTAGGGCACAGTTCCGCTACATCCAGCTTGCGGCAACGCGTAGCAAGCCGTCACAGGCCGAAGAGATGCAGTTACTGGCGCCCACCAGCGAACAGATCTCTGCCATCCAGCAGTTCCGTGAAAAGAACCGCGCGTCAACTTTCTTCAACCATCTCTCTGCGATATCGGAGAGCATCCCAGCTTTAGGGTGGGTGGCTGTTGCTCCCACACCGGCACCGTACGTGAAAGAAATGAACGACGCTGGCCAGTTCTACTCCAACCGTGTGCTTAAAGATTGGAAGGAGAAAGACAAGAAGCACGGAGAATGGTGCCGCGCTTGGGTGCAACTTCTTTCTGACTTGCAAGCTTACGTGAAACAGTACCACACCACTGGCCTTGTTTGGTCCGGTAAGTTCTTGTTCAATAATTTAGGTTATACAGATTATCAGTCCTTGATTTGTAACAAAAAAACTCATTAGTAACACAAAATTATTATTAATACAAAGAGTCTCCTAGCAAACCGTGCCAGACGCTAAGTTTGCATAGCGTCCTGATACGGTTTGCTAGGAGACACTGTCGGTTCGAATCCGGCCGGATCGAAGGATTTTTTTCTAAGTGTTCGATCTTTGTATGAATAATAATAATAAACTAGTGGAGTAATTTCACAAAAAACAATTTAATAAAAATATAAAATGATATGAAACTTATAAATACATATACAAATGCTCTATTTTTAATCGACTTCAAAAAAGGAGGAGGTTATCAATTCGTTTGTATGTTTTTTTGTATGGATGTTACGCGATGACGGCATTTGTGAACCGATTTTGACGATTCTTTTTTTTTGTTGGAAAGGGGTACCACCTCAGTAGTGGTCCCATTTCACTTTGAAGAAAATATTCCACCTCTAAAGGTGGTAAACTAGGGGATGAATAACTTTTCAGGTCGGTTTTGTTGTACTATAAACTGAGATTATATTGTCTTAAAATACTCAGAAGTATTTTTAACAAACTAAACATTTGAATATTACAGCAAGATAACTTACCCAGAGGCAATTTTGATATGTATAGATGTATGTTTATACTTTCGAGAAACGTCGGCAGAGGTCATGGAAATTGTCAAGCTAACGTAAATAAGTAATTACACGGTACATTTTACCGAGAATATTCGAGGTAAAACTTGGGGAAATCGATCTACGGTTATAGGTCCCTTCAAGTAAACTTGGAGCAAACATTGAAGTTACTAGTGGCTGCTGGAACCTTTTCTATAGAAATTGAAAAGTTTGAGTTGACGTAATTAGCGTTAGGTAGGTATTTGACACGAGACGTAGACGAAATGGAGACCTTACAAACGAGTTGTTTTAAATTTAGATGTGTTCATCAGGTAAGGGTGCGGGCGCTCCTCCACCACCACCGCCGGGCGGTATGCCACCACCACCGCCTGTGCTACCCGATGTCGACTTCTCTAACATGTCTCTCGATGACCGCAGCGCCCTATTCGCGGAAATCAACCAGGGCGAATGCATCACAAGCAGTCAGTATCTTAAACAATATCTAAAACGATCACAGACTAACGAACTATAGTTATTACATACTTTTAAACTTTCGCGTTCCATTGTACGAACATTTGAAAACGGGAATAAACGCGTTTACATACGAATAGGTATTTTTCACACCTACCTAGTTTCCTGACGTTTCGGCCAGGTTGCACTGGCCGTGGTCACGGGTTGACTGATAGTTAATAGTTCAACGACTGTAGTAACAATAAAGCTAGCAGCTTGAGGCGTTTGGATTTCTGTAGCATATCGCTTCCAGCCATCGAGTATATAACCAGAAATAGAGACGAAATATATTCCTGGTAACACATTAGCGATACAGCTCTTATAAATATCAACTCGCGTTTGCACTGAAATATATTCCAAAAAATATTCTGTATTTATTGCAATAAAGATAATATCTCTAACAATGCCGTGCTGTTCTATTCGGTGGTGTGGGAAAAACAGCAAAACATCTAATTACAAAACAAACGGAATCACATTACATCGTTAATTAAATAATTATTAAATATGTAATTTTGCAATTTTCGTCCATTATAGCAAAGCTCAAGTTAACTGGTCGATTTGAAGTGAAACAGTTGAAGACACCCATTGACGACACCCGTCAATTGTTTCGAACTAGGGCTAGCCAATCGGAGCGCAGTTGTCACAGTAATGATATGGCAGAATAGTTTTCAAACAAATTAAATGACATTTCGTCTCTATTTCTGGTTATATACTCGATGCTTCCAGCACAAATGCAGGAAGCGGTCCTACTCAATACGCCGCTTATTGGTCACCGGTTCTTCAATTTGAGTCCCTGACCCAGGCCGACTGTGCCATTGCTGGGGAATGCCGACTATCACATTAGAAAATTCAAAAATAATATTTTAGGCCGTGAGAGAGGCGAGAGCCTAAAATAGATATTCAAAATAATAATACGTATGGTGTCATACTGATTGAATTGAATTGTCTTTTAAATGTATTTAAAAGCAGCCAACAGAGGCTGAGGAAAGAAAAATGTAATACTTAATAATAATGTGCCAAACAACCAATTGCAAACCAATTGCCTAGCCTCAAACTAGGAAATTCCCTGTGCTATGACTATCAGAACAACAATAATAATAATAACGCACACACTCAACATAGCCCCGCACTAGGGAAACCCTGTGTCGCGGGTGCCATGGACACAGACAACCACAAATTACACCCAAACTTACGAGAGAAATAAATGTAGGCCATACGACGATTACAGAATATACAGATACACTGTCCCATACAATACAAAATGAGTCCGCAAATTTTTTAGCTTCTTTTTTAGTTTATGGCACACTAGATGACGACTATAACGCGACGTCACAGTAGGAGGTAGAAAGCTTATTACCCTGCATAGTAACTAGATGGCGTTTTCCTTTATCACTAGATTGATTCGATGAATAGATTTAAACTTAGGTCATACTAATATTTCCATTTCAGTCAATGGTAACCGCTCGGTACGGAGGTAATTACAACGGATTTTACTCCGGGGTATTACCTGGAAAACACGACCAGAATCACATCTAATGCCATATATATATAAATAACATACATATATATATAAATAACAAACCGTTGGGCCACCGAGGTCGTGAAATATAAAAAAAATCTAACTAACATCTACGTAGAAATATGCGTTACAACTTAAAAATCATATTTATGTTTTTTACATTTCTCTTTCCACTCCTAATCGGAGTTGATTTGTTTTTTTAAGGTTATTAGATGGAGTCGTCTTTGATTAGTATGTAGATGATTAAACGCTTTTCTCTTCGCATAATATTTTAGGGTTAAAAGTACCTCTCTTGTGGATCAGGTTTGCGCAAGGTGACGCCAGATATGCAGACGCACAAGAACCCACATCTGCGGCAGGGGCCAGCGCCGTTCAAGGCGGCGGGCGGAACCGGGCCCGCCAAGCCGCTGCCGCAACCCGGTGCTGGCGCCTTCACCGATAAGCCTCCGGTCTTCGCGCGCGACGGCAAGAAGTGGCTCATAGTAAGTAACTACAACACAAACACAAGTGTATTATCACCATCAACCCATTTATACGTCCCACTGTTGGGCACGGATCTCCTCTCAGGCGATTGATGGGGACTGCACACGTTTTCCAAGGGTTGTGAACTTTCTTCGACGTGCAGGTTTCATCACAATATTTTCCTTCACCGAAAAGCTCATAGTAAATTCAAATTAAATTTCGCACGTAAATTCCGAGAAACTCAAATGCGCGGGGCCGGATTCGAGTGTATTATATCGCTTATGATTTCAACAAAGTATTGTAAGAAATAATTTTAGCTGTTGTTTTTATTGCGTATTAGGATGTTTTACTACCATGATATTTTAATTATTAATACGAAGATCAAAATTAATTCGATCCGGCTGGATTCGAACCATCGTCTTCCAGCAAACCGTGTTAGACGTCATGCCAACTAAGCCACGGAATGAACTAGCTTTACGAATTTTTCTTTGTACTTGTTGCAGATCTTCGTTTTTGGTTTTTAACGATTTTTGTGCCGTAACGCCATCTGTGAGAAATCTATTCGAAAGAAATTTTTCTTAACGTTTGATCTTTGTATTAATAATTATAACAAACTATTGGAGTCATTTCACAAAAACAATTGAACCACCATGATTGTGGTCAAACATCACGACATTCAGTAAAACTTAAATATTACCAATTTGTTTTTCGTGAAAATACTCTACTACTTTGTTCAAAGAAATATTCCTTCGGTCTCACAACCTGCATCTGTATGCCAAACTAGGGCCATCGCTCTACCAGCTCATAATATAAATATAGCTCTACCAGCTCATAATATAAATATATATAAGAGCAAAAATAGTTTCATTTCCTACGTGAGACAAATGATAATAATTTAGTTGTTGTCCTCATTTAGGCTCAATTGTCATCATAGGCGGTTAAAAAATTACAAACTAGATAATTGAACAGTAATTCTGCCCAGAAGTGATATTTACAATAGGAGGCACTACAACTGAGAGAAAGTAATAATAAGTTTGAGAAAGTAGCAATTTCTTTTTTTTTATATACATACACCAAGTGACGGGACAAACAAGTCGTGCGCCTGGTGGTAAGCGACACGTCTGCCCATAAAAGTCCTTGTCAATGTGTAACATGGACTTGTCCTTTGTACAGGAATACCAAAAGGGCAACGCGAATCTGGTGGTAGAAAACGCAGACATGAACAACGTGGTGTACATGTTCCGCTGCCGTGACTCTGCTCTGACGGTCAAAGGCAAAGTGAACGGCGTCGTGCTCGACTCGTGCACCAAGTGCGCAGTCGTCTTCGACAACCTCGTCTCCAGCATTGAGTTCGTCAACTGCCAGTCTGTGCAAATGCAGGTTAGTAAAGCATACACACTATAACCTGAAACTCTAATTTCGAATCATAATTCTAACAAGGACTACTCACAAATTATTTTTTTATTTTATTTTATTTGGGAAATTAACAGCTCAAAATTAAATAAAGCTATCGGATATCTTGAAATGCAGGGAATATTTGTATTTATAGAGTAATTAAAAATATAACAAAAGTAAAATCTATAAAACATTTATAACGACGTTTCGCCTTCCCGGTTCTCCAAGTCTGATTCCTTTTCGACGTCGTCCTTGAACTCCTCGATGGCGACTTGACTGCTAGTCTCCTCTGGGAGAACGAAGAGAATGTTTCGCGGTCGCTCACGGTCACACTCATCACGCGGTGACGAGTGTGCCACGAATTTGCTGTTCACATCACTGACTTCTGGGGCTTCATACAAATCTTTGCACACCGGCGGAGAATCTGTCATATCCTGAAATACAGTATATTTTTTTTAAAGGGACGGTATGGGATATTCCGAAATCGTAGGATATACAAGGAAACTGTTTTAAGAACCATTGGATCTTTTTTCTGAAAATAATTTTGGCACAGTCATTTTTTGGTCAAGCGTGTCCATAAAAAGTAATAATATTCACTATTTTTTTTCAACGCTGACAGATCTATAGCTTCGAATATCCCCATACTATCCCTCTTAAACAAAAAAATACACCATTTAAAAACAAAGTCTGCCAAGCGAAATACAGACTTTAGAAGTAATCAGTTTTGCAACGTCTAATAAAATATATAATTCTCACCTCATAACCGTACGGGTAATTTCTGTATGAGCTCTGCGTCCAATTGACAGCGTAGTCATCGTAGTACCCATCCGCAGTCCTGCCTCCGGTCTTCAGGTCACTTTCGGATTCCGAGGACGGCAGATTAGGTTTGGAATAATCTCCCATGGCTTCTTGCGACGCCATATCCAGCGGTGTCGAGTCTAACAAAAGTTTGCTGTTGATAACCGCATTCAACGACTTCTGCCAACCTTCCAGGAGCTTCTTGATATTTTCGATCTGCAACAAAAGCGCACCCTAGTGCATTTATAGAGAGACTTCTCGCAACTAAACATGCACAAACATGCGATATGAAGATAGATATGTATCACATCTACGGTACCTTTTTTTTTAACAGCGCCTGTTGCGTCGCTCTTCTCAGTCTCTTTTGTTTGATGTAGTGCTTTAGATATGCAACTTTATACACGTTCGTAACTTTGATGATTTTTACACGACAATCCTTGCCGGCATTATCCGAATCGCTCAGGGACGAGTACACGCTATCCGGCGTGCTCGGTTCCGGTTGCGCGTGCTCGCCGCAGTCCATCTTGTCCGCAGTCCTCTCCGGCATCAAGACTTGCTCCGACTTCATCTCCTTTATGAGAGTGATAATAAATTCGCGCTCTGGAAAGTTGAATTGCGGCTTTCCTTAAAATGAGGACCATGGACGTCCGTCCGGCGCGGCCCGGGCGCGTTAAAGCAATACCTTCCTCGGGAGTGGAGTGCAGATGCAGCTCGGGCTCGTCGCCCCAGGGCGCGGCGGACTCGAGTGCGCGGCGCAGCTGCTCGTCGGCGTTGATCATGTCGCGCACGCGCGCGCGCACGGCGCGCAGCCGCTCGGCGTTGCGCCGCAGCTGCTCCGCGCGCTCGCTGAACTCCGCGTCGCGCACGAACAGCTTCGTATTCACTATTTGGATCTGTCGGGGTACAACGCCTCGTAATCAACACCAGGCCCCAGTTACGAAACTCAATAATTACTGCGTAACGGATACATCACTCTCGTACAAAATCGAGAATACGATGTAATAGCCTACTAAATCTGTCTAATGACACCAGGCGCTCACTACGAAGAAAAGAGAACCTAAGCACGCGCTCAGTCGTGCCAAGCCGAATGCTCATAAATGACACATTTGTATGAGAGCTTGCGCCGCCGTCGGCGCACTTTGCGGTAGGCACTTATTGCATAACCTTGAGCGAGTGAGGGAGCCCTGACCGGACCTCGCTTACGCTACCGCGAACGGGATTTGTCGCTACCTGCAGTTGTATATCCTCCAGTTGTATTTGTTTCTGATAGATACGCTCCCGCGACGACTGGTAAACGCTTTTTAGGAGTTTGTACATGTACATCCCCGTCGGCACGTACTTAAGAAAAAACACTACCTGTGTAACAATGACATAAAGCTGGTGAAGTTTCCTATTTTAAATGCAGATTTACGAGTACCCCGTAGACTGAAATTTACGAACCACATTTAGCACTGTCACCCGTTTGTACAGTCCGTATAGTAAAAGGACGCAACTCTGTCCAAACGGAAGACCGTATTGATCTAAGAGTTCCTTAAAGTACTGAGCTAAGGCCTCCGTCGGGCTCAAATAGTTCCCATTCGCCGTTTCCTCACGCTTGCTTGCCATGTGTTTTAGTCTGGGAATATTTCGCAGACACTGTTACAGATAACTAAACTGTTACAAACATTAAACGTTTATAGCTACCAAATCCAACGTTCTATTTGTAATTTAATAATTACATTTTATAAACAAATACAATACAACGTAAAAATTAGTGTCACACGTTAGTGTCTGATTTCTTATGATAGCTTTATCTTGACTTTGTCAAGTTTGAGTTTTGACAAGTTCCATCTTCAAGTTATTATTTTTTATGACAAAGAAGAATATAAATAAAGAAATGGGGAAAATAAACTTTTTTTTTCGTTGAATGTGGCAAAATGCTCATACTGGGTTTATAAGATCATTAGAATGAAGACTGCACCGAGGCAGCGATACGTAATTGCGAAATCATTGCGTTTGATCTCTTGCTGTATCGTTTTTACTGAAGCTTTGGTTATGAAATTAATGTATAACATATTTAAGGATTCATTCTATAAATCATACTCTTTAGAAACACGATTACTTTCACAAAAAATCCGAAGTTATCTCTAGAAAACAAAATAAAACCTTAGTACCGCGTAAATACTTCACCGAAGTTCATCAGTTTTTGAATAACACCAAAACTACATCTTTTCTATAACGCATACTCCGTACATTTTCAAAATGTGTATTTGTTTTGATTATACGAAGTAAATACTTAAATTCGCATGCGGTCCGCCCATACTAGCCAGAGCCGCCACGCTTCCCCCTATCCGCTTTAGTCCTACTTCGGCCGTCAGACGGACATGGAGGTTGTGTCGCTTGGTCTTACACACGGCTGAAGAGGTTGCAAACCGCTAATGTGCCGTGACCAGGATCACGGCAATAAAACAGAATACTCCGGTCCACATATTTTATTTCCTAAGTAAAGTCGAAAGAAAAAAGGAAGGCTGTAACAAGAAAAGGGTATAAAAAACATGTACAACGCTAAAAAAAGTACTAAAAAAGTGAGTTCCCCGAGAGGGCCGAGTTATACAATATTACAAGGTTGGATTGGTATTAAAATTGGCACATTGATTTAGGTTGGGAACTGATCAAAGGATTAAAATTACACGAGCCGCACTGCTCGCTTCAGCGTTTAAGTAGAGTGACGACGACGGCACGAAAACAAAGTGAGAATGACGGGCAATGGAATTGAAGAACGATTCAACATTTGAAAACAAGTGGCCAGGAACCAGAGACAGGGTGATAAAAAAGCGGAATAACGATGGAAGGAGGTCGCATCGTCACACAGTATATGTATATACACGCTATAGAAACGTATGCCATACGTACACATAACCGGAGCGCATAGAATACCTAAAATCAATTAGCGCCAGAAGTTCGGCGCCCTCTTAAGTCATAATTTGCTAGAATAGTCCAGTAGCTAAATTCAAGGTGTTTTATTATCATAGGTTCTGGGCAAGGTGCCGACGGTGTCGATCGACAAGACGGACGGCTGTCAAATCTATCTGTCGCCAGAGTCGCTCAACGTCGAGATAGTCAGCTCCAAGTCCTCGGAGATGAACGTCCTCGTGCCAAAAGGCAATGGAGATTATGTGAGTGTTTTCAATAATAATACTAATATTTAGCATATTTTCCCATTTAACAGCAGAGAAACCGGCCATAAACCTGCTTTCTCTAGTTTGTTTTTCCTATATATTTACTACGACTCGATCTGCACAGGTTAGCATAGAATTTTTTCATTGCGAACCTTGCGCAAAATCTTAACAAAACTAGCATATCAGATAAAATTCATAAAAGCCTTAAAGATACCAAATTTACTGGCTAGTATCCTTCAAAATAAAAGCTTCATATGAGTTGAGAAATTACAAGTAAATGCCCTTACAGGCGGAGCACCCGATCCCGGAGCAGTTTAAGACGGTGCTGAACAATCGTGGCGCTGGGCTGACCACGACGCCCGTCGAGAGTACGGGCTAAGTTGCCCCGACCTCCCCGGGAACATATAGCTTATTTATTTTCGTCATTTATCCTTAGTGTTACGTCACTACTTCGATGCAAGTGTTATTATTAAGTATGTCTCTGCAACAGCCAAATTTGATTATTTTCAATTAACGATCCATTATAAAAATTAAATCATATTGTTGTTAAAGCATTGTCAAATTCATTGTTTAATATTTTCGTTCAGTATCTTAATAATTTCATTTGGTATTTCTTTCTTGATCTGTTTTACATCGGTGAAGAAGTAGTAACGTAGCATTAGGAACTGTTGTTTAGCAAAGAGGCGTTTTTTAAATAAATTAATATATTTTGCACAGTCTAGTACAACTTAGTTCACTTACGCGTCCCGCCTCAGTAACTTAATTTCAAAAGTAAGGGCACAAAGATCATTCGTATCGTATAATATCTCTAAAATCGTTCTCGGGCTCCTAATGTTTACTCGTCCAATTTTACTCTTATTTTTATCATCTTAAGAGTTATAATAATTTCTTGCTCATTTTGCTCGATCCTAGTATTCATAGATTTAAATAATAATATGACGTAGACATAACTCAAGTATTTACTGGCCTTTATAATGTGTAAAAAAGTTTCTTAATTTGTAATTTGAGATTTTAATTTTGACATTGAGCAGGAAATAAAAGCTCGGAGTACCTTATGGTACGGGAAGTAGATAAGTTAGCTGTTAAGCGTGTGACTGCCTCGGTTTGATTATAAGAATGGTTTGCATTCTCGACTTTTGCTATTTTAAATTAATGAAGAGTGATTATAAAACCCCGATTATTCTAGAGGCATTTTATACCTCTCCAAAATATTTTTCAAATTTTAATAATTTATTTATTGTAATTTTAATTTAATTACGTGTATTTGTTTGTATCCTCAGTATATTTTTTGTATTCCATTAATAATTTAATTAATATTGTGACATCTTGCTTAAGAATAAATTGTAATTATTTAATATGCCATGATTATTTAGAAGAAGATTATTGTATTACAAATTGCATTTCTGTTAATTTACATGTCGAGAGATTAAACTAATTTTTAAGACGGAGTAGTTTCATTTCCAGTATAACCTAACCGTAACGTAGAATGAAAGACTTCTTTATATTTGTTAACTTTTTATTTGATGCATGGTTAACATCGTCCATTTGAATACAAATTCAAACGGAAAAGGTCCTCCATAGATTTTCAATAAATAGATTCGATTAGCAATAAACATACAATTACAAACGTGGTAAACAACGCAACCGTTTGGGCGAAGAATAACAAGCTATATTTACAAAGCCCAAGTCACATCAAAATATGGCATAGTACATGTGAATAAAAGATATAAAACATCAGAAGATTCGTAACCGACAACACTGAATGAGATTCGATACAACCTACTTACAAAATATCAGTCGAATTCGGAAGTATAATTCTAGCATTAAGTACTGGCTTACAAGCAAATTACTAGACTAATGTCAATCAGGGTCTTGTTTCGTGGAGTTTGAGGCGTGTCTATTGCATTGCCACTCGTCGCTGCCGTCCGAGCACTCAATGAAGCCATTGCACACGCTGGAAGCGGGCAGGCACTCGCCAAGCGGACACCTGTACCCTTTACACGTGTCTATTCTATCTGGTCGTTTATTTTCTGCTACTTCTAGATCGACGTAGAAGTCTTCTTCAGAATCTTCATTCGAGAACGTGGTCTCGTTCCGAGGTGGCGTGTAAGTGGTAATTATGTTGTCTATCCAATCGATGTAGTTGGAGACTTTGGTGTAGACGCCGGGCCTGTTCGCGCGCGCGCAACCGTAGCCATTACTGGTCACACCATAGATGTACCATCTGTCTTGTTCCTGTAAGAAAGATTTGATAAACAAAGAAGTTCCTTATGATTCTCCCCAATATATTACCAACTCTGTATGAGACCGACATTGTTTAACACTTCAGGCTGTTGTGTTTTTTCCACCTTACCTGGCACATGAGTGGACCACCGGAGTCACCGAGGCAGGCGTCCCGTCCACCGCGCTCGTAGCCAGCACAAAACATGTCGTCGGTGACGCGGTACAGAGGCAGAAGGCGCGTGCGCCGTCGGCACTCCGCTGTTGATATCACCGGTAGCTCAACCTCTTGAAGCGTGTCCGCTGGAATCAACGATAAAGAAATTAAATCAATGAATTTGTATTAATGTGATTTTTTTTCTAAAACAAATTTAAAAAAGTGTCAGTATTTTCTGCCACAAACAGAGAGAGATGGCGAGTCACATCATCCCCTGTCAAACATGGTTATTGAACTCGAGCACTCTGCCAAGAGTGCTACTAAATAGAAGAAGGATTTCTTCATACTTCTCTGACTTTTGGACGGCCAGTAATGTTATCAGTTTTTTGTAGTAAATTAAAATAAACTTTCAATTAGAAATGGAACTAATTGTAAGGGTATCGAGATCTTAGGTTTTCGCGATTGTTACACATAGAAAATGAAACAGCGTAAATTTGTTTTTTCAAACAAATCTCTCTTATATTGGACAAACAAAGCGAAGTATTTGTACCCGCGTCAAAGAACAGATAGCTGATGTCAAACACCGTCGCGTTTACATGTCTGCAGTCTGCGAACATGTCATGGATAAACCTACACATTCAATGAAGTTTGACAAACCCCAGGGTCCAGTATTTCTTCTAATGAAAAATCCCAAACAGACATAAGACTGCAGTACTAATTAATATGTTTTAGTTTATTCTAATTTCTATTATTAATTAATAATAAATTGAACTTAATAAAAAATCATTCAATAAAATAATTTGTAAAATGTAGCGTAAATTGGAATATTTTCTTTGTAAAATTAAAAATAAGGTATTTCATTAATAACTATAGTGAAAAAATAGGGTAAACCACCCTATTAGACATAACTGGATGAAGACTGTACCACCTCAGTCAACCGTGACCATGGGACCTGTAAAGGGCCAGAAACGTCGGTTTGTTTGAAAAAACAAATATACGCGATTTAAATCCGGAAAAATAGTTTCATTTCCTAATTGTAAGGAGACAAGATTTTTGATGGCGTTTCGTTCAAAAGAAAACTGGTCCCATTTTGTACAATTTCACGACAAAAATTTGATTGACAAGAACTATGAAAATAACTTACGGAATACTCTTTCGTGTTCGTAAAGTTGTCCCCAACCAACAACAGTGCAATGATGCCCCGCTGGAGGCTGTGCGCGTGGCGGAGGCAGACAGGCAGGGCGCAATCGCGCGTGGAGCTCCAGCGTATCAACGCGAAGAAGTGCGATGTCATTGCGGAATCCACGAGGAGCGTAGCGGGGATGCAGAACCACCTGCCGAACCCTGGAAACTCGTTCCCACGGGCCTCTAGGCCACGCACCACGACGCAAGGCCCCCAATCGAGCTACCCAGTGCGCTTCAGTGGCTCTGTAAATGAAATTAATATCGTAAAGCATTGTAAGGGGATTGTGCATGTTCGTTTTCTTGACGCATTCCGAACTGACAAGCAAAATCCTTTTGATATGCAAAATGCGAATACCAGCCAGAATATATATTATAAATAAGGGTTTAGACTAATTTTTGTTTTATAGCTATAAAATAAAAGAAATTTCAAAATTGCACGGGAAGTACTTATTGATTTCGAATTAAGAATACCATATAGGTCACTTACTGATAGAAGCAGTGACTCGCAGAAAGGATCCACTGGTCGGCGATAAGGGTACCGCCGCACTGGAAATCGCCGTCGCGGTACAGCGCCACCTGCCACGGCCATGCACCCGCCGCTGCGCCGCCGCCGCCCACTACCCTGCCCAGCCGCACGCGCTCGTAAGTTACTCGCTCTCTACGATACACCCCACACCGCACCGTCAGTCTTACTTTGCCCTTGAGGGCTACTTAATGGTGCATTTCTAATTACTTGTGCCAAAAATGAAAATGCACAGATTAACAGTGCAGTGCTATGAATATGTACACACGTAATGTATAATATTCAAACTTGCCACAGAGGAGTTGTGTAATATTTTCTGTTCTCTACTTATAATGGGGGTGTGTGAGGAATATGGTAAAATATTTAGATAATAATTGTTCAGTATACCTGGGCTGTTGAGCATCAGCATGAGGTCTGATGCCGCAATCGAGATCCTTGCAACGGACGCGTAATGCTTTGCGTCTTGTACAAGAAGATCGTCGGAAGGTAAGACGTGTATCAGCAGCGCGAGCTGCAGCGTTATGCCAAACTTCCCAGTAGCCTACAGAACTGATTTTGCGACCTTCGCGCGCTTCTCGGGACCAAGGAGAATCACTGGAAATATTTTAAAATTTGTACACTACAAATTACAAATTTACTATAACTAGTGAAAGTGCCACACTCCTGACCTAAGTAAACTGAAAAAGTTTTTTTTTCACGTCACTGCATACTTATAATGGATCTAAAATTGGTTAAAATGTAGTTAGGTACTTACTGAAATGTCATAGCTCGGCACACTGCTCTACCAAGATCTGGTAGTTTTAATGAACTATGCGCTTGTGTCACTACATCTTCGAAACTTTCGACGCATAGTCTGCCCCAAACTCCTCTCTTACGAACCATAACGAATCCTGTAAGAATAAAACGGAAAAAATTCTCATTAAAAAGTCAACAATTATTAATCACAACCACTCCTATAATATTAGGGGTTAAAGTATGAAATTGCCGTTTTATTGCAATA